CCGAGTGCTTTGGCAGTGGGCGGCGGCAGCGCTGCCGTCGCCGCGGGTGTCGATGGCGACGGTGGCGCGGCGGTGGCGGCGTCGGCGGCGTCGGTGCGGGGACGTTGACGCGCCAGCTGGCAGGGGTGCCGCCGCAAGTTCACGATCAAGGGGGCCGCCGCGCGAAAATAACAAACGAAGCACGCGCTCGGCAGGTGTTTGCCGCCACCGCCGCCTCCCTACAGACGCGCGGATGCCCCGCTGGGCTTTTTCTAGTTTTCGTGTGGTCGCTGGCGCTGCTTGTTTAGCTCGCACGCAGCGCTACTACTGCAACCGTGTCAACTCTGTCTTTTACTTAACTTCCACATTTCTTGAATGTTGAGTGCCACAAACAATTTTCTTGGAAAATTATTCATTGGAACACATAGTATCATAAGAATGTATTGGAATATTGAGATTGATTTCAAATATATATTTAAAAAAAACGAAGTATGAGGGGGCCCGAGAAAAATTCTTTTCTTCGATGTTAGAAGTTGAATTCCTACTGAGTACAGACAAACCAAAAGTGAATTTGAACACATAGTCATGTCGTGAGTCAGGAATTGTGCTGCATTTGAAGTCATCGTTGGATTACAAACTAAGTCGAGCAACAAATGCCTACAACGACTGAGTTGAAATTCAAATCAGAGTTACCACACACATTATCGGCAACCACATTTTTTAAACATTGTAAGTGTTAAACTATGTACCTTGCGATAAGTCTCATTTTTTGTTATAAAATCCAAGTTCAATGCGTTTAAAATGTAAACTAATACATACAATCATCTTTCAGTTTCTTGATGTCTAAAAATTGGATATGAAGCATTTAGTCTTGTCATATATGAAGTATTTGTAGGCTTCGTTGAAGAATGGTTACCACTTTACTAGGTATTCAAAGTCTGTCGGTTTGAACAAGTGAACGCCAGATCACCCTCACCCTCTATATCGAGAGAGGATTAAGTCCAATTACTGTATTATAATTGCACACCTATGCCACGCTCTGTCGACCAGTTTGTTGATAATTACTACCTTTTATTTCCGCTACCTGCGATATTCAAGATCTATTGGAGGGAGCAAACGAATGTATACACTTATTATGTACAGTGTCCGTACGAGATATACGTGCCAGCAAAATTAGCTGGTGAATAAGGCAACGACACTAGTAGTGGTCACTGCTTCCAACACAACTTCACACTGCGTCAAACTAGCTATCCAGCTAGTGTCGAAACTCCTGACGCCGTTGAAACTCGAACTGCAGAACCTTCCCTGGGCCACCTCTTTCGCTGCACAAATAAAAATTTGACAATTTTTAATTAATCAGAATCATTCAAATCGTCTTAATTGTCTTTTAGGTAACGGATTTACAACTGTAGCCCAAGAACGTTGAGAAATCTACGACAATGTTCTTAGCAGTAGCCACTGCTGGTGGCTTTACTCTAAACCGCTTTGGAATTAAGAAGCACTTGATGTGTGAGCGAGTGAGCGCCTGTTCCTGTCCTTTCCCTCCGGACCCGCGTGAAGCGCGCTGCCTGGAAATAGCGCGCCGCAGGTAGGGGAGGGACATCCTGACGCAGCGATGGGTGATTTGTTGCGGACGCGCGCATATATTTTTGCTTTTCAAACTTTGCCAGAATCCGTAGCCATTTCCGTCCGGAAAGTCGTTATTTATACACCATTTAGTGAAAACTGGGTCTCATACAAATTGGCGGATTTTTCTCTCCCGACATCGTCTTCGCGTCCTGCGTGTTGTTTCCGAATCTATAATTAAAACAGTTTTCTTGGCTGGAAGTTATGAGTCGCATAATGCGCTTCCTTCATCGCACGCGCGATTGGTCAGGATGAAAATATAGGGGAACAGTTAATTAAATCAGAAATACCTCCCTAATGGAGCCTCTTGTCCATTAGCATGATAAATGAATCGCTTAAACGCCGCCGACGGCTACTTTATAACTGGAATCGCCTGGAGGCATTTGTCAAGCGGCGGGGAGGGGGAGGGGAGGGCTGCGGTGGCGCTGGGGAGGGGCAGGGGAGGAGGGAGCGTGAATTGCATGCAATGCGTAAAGTGGCGTCAGCTGCGTCGCGCACCGCCTACGGCATGTGCAGGCCTGCGGTAAAAGACCTCATTTCTCGGCTGTTTTCTACACTGCTCGTTTGAAGCCGTGAACTGATATGACGCATGTTCATATTCTGCCATTTTATCATGTTATATAGAACGTTTGAGGATAAATGTTACAAACTTCTCGGGCAAGTAGAGGGGTCGAAGATGATAACCTTTTGCCAATGAATATTTAGAGGGAAATTTTATGCGAGGGAGTTACCCGTACTGATTTTTAGGTTACTCCTTGCGCGCGGGTGTTTGGCAGGTCACGTTGTGATGTCGACAAAGAGAGTTCATGTACCTGCCGAATGTCTGCGTATGGGGTTGCATAACAATCAGTGACGAATATCAATGTATTATTGCATATAACTACGTTATATGCAATATCCCGCTAAAATTTTATTGCCCGAAATTGATTATTTTTGACCCATATATGTGCCCTTAAATTTACTGTGGGACATCTCAATTCAATCATAGGGAAAAGATAATGGAGGAACTTGAATAATTTGAGTTTTGAATAATTTGAAACAGCATGTTTCTGTATTTATAGAAACTAATGGACAGTATTGACATTTCGATACGTTATCTGTTCTCGTTTTGGTACGTTCGCATGATCATTAACAGTATTCACCCATTAAATTTGAATGAAAATTTGTATGCAGCAAAAAGTACTTCAACCACATGTACTTTTTGCTGCCTAACTACTTTGGAAATGCCATGATGGACAAATCATGTGACTGACTTTATACCCTTCCTCCATTAAAGAATATCCGCTGTGAAAACGGAATATACCAGAGGTGCGTGCGGTAAGTCAAAATGGGTCAGTGACGCACTAAAGAATACATGATGTCTCGATGAGAACGGAAGATGTGTTGAATAATCTAGGACAGCCGTTACAACGAACACAGATATTTCTGCAGTACGACGTGTCTTGGAATGTTTATTTGAAAGAAATGTATTCGCTGCATAGCTACAAATAAATTCTGTTGTTTGCCCCGTATGATTTTGTGTCACTTCTCTCACTTCTAAGAGTAGTCATGTTGGTGTTTCATTACACTGTCTCTCTATCTTCAGAGTCTGGCTGTCTTGCCTACTTAATATTTTACGATTATTGACTATTGTTTGCTTACTCCTGCAGGAGCCAACCACGGCCTACCTTAATTACAGAACAATACCAGCTTGGAAGAACTGCTATCAAAAATAACAAATATCTATACTTTTTCTAAATATCGCATGAAGTATTTTCACAGCATCGCAATCGCGGAGTCTTAAGCAACAAAGAATATTACACATGCTATCGTAATTATGTATATTTCAACGTCAGTGATTAAAAGGTCAACTGAATATTTTTTCCAATATTATAAAAGAAATAGCTGTTTTCTCATCTGAGAATATTGCGTAGAGTATTCGGTGTCCGTTGAAAGATGGACGTTTTTGGAACGTTAACACTGTCAGAGAATTGGGTGAGGAGTTAACAGCTATCCGAATCGCCTTAGAATTCTCCAGAATTCACGGATTGCTCAATCATTCTATCTGCTACTAGGTGTAGAGGTAGATACGTATGCATAATGCGATCTTTTTGAGGAATTATAAGATCACCTCAGAAGAAAAAAACACTCTTTGCATGAAATAGGAATTCGCCATCTTTACTTAAAACGTACTTATTTCGATTGTTCTTAACGGACGGAGAACTGCTAAGATCCGTATCGAACGCCGGCCGTTATTAGTGGTTTTTCGTTCCTCTGGCTGCGTTCAGTCGATATAACCGTTCATCACGAGAAATCGTTATATATCGTGGCAGATGCTGTTACAGTTGTGTTAATATTAATTGAAACGCGGTTTACTTTCTCATAATTCAACAAGTCTTGTTTGTTACTCTGAGTAAAAATACCTATTTCATTATTCTTCGCTATATCTCGTAGAAAAATAAAGTGAAAGTATCATTTTCAGGAATTACATAATTGTTTTATACGACAATTCCCTATCATTAATTCCCTACTTTCCACTTTATTTTTAGGGTGTTAAAATAATATTATAAAAAATTCTCCTTCAGGAAAAAAAACCCTCCTTTTTTCAATATTTTATCCCCGAAACCTGTGAAACATATTCCGCTCACAGCGAGCTGGTGATGCGAACAATATATTTGAGTAACATATATTAAGTTCTAAATGAATTAGAACTGAAAGTTTACTTTAGTCTTTCGCTTGTTTGTTGATGGTCAGAGGGGCACGGAATTTGTTGACGTTTACACAGGATGTATTCACCAGTCAGGGGGTGTTGTGTATAATTTCATAGTGATTATGGATGGATATTGGTGTGCAAACTAACTCCTATTTAATTAGTATCAAACGTGGTTACCAAATGATAACGTAATTATCCATGAATATTAATTCAGATTATTCTCCGGAGCTGTTTACTTCAGTGCCCAATCCACCTAATTTTTTAATTTAGTGGCTCTTTAAAGTTGTAAATACTGCAGAGTATTTGAATGTTGGTGCGCCCATGAAAAGGGCCATTTGTTTTTGTCAAGCGGTTACGCAATTTAACTACATAATAAAGTAATTACAGTGCATACACAGCTCTCTCAAAAATTAAAAATATAAATGCGAAATAGTGGTCTACCGAGTCCAATTACACACCATTTAGCAAATGTTACTTGACCCATTTTCGTTATAATGTAAAAATTTGAACAATGAAATCTCGATTCATGTGGGTTATTTATAAACGCAGATTTAATATCAACAAACTTTAAATATAGTTTTAAGATGTTTGATTCGGTTATTTTTATTTTGAAACGTTCGCTGCACAAAAATGATTCACGGCTAACAAAACGATGACTGCCGAGTTTTTAAACTATTATAAGAAGTAATGTTTTTAATTTTACCTTGTGTATGGAACAGCTGGAAGATTATGATGTCTGGAAATCTGGTTGCTTACATCTCCATCTGAAAGAATGGGTACAAATGACATCAGTATTTGTTATTAAAATTAGGATTTTTTTAAATGTTTTAAAACTAAAACTCCACTAGTATATGAGTCACATCTAAAAGGTTACACTGGTAAATATATTGTATCTTCAGTAGATAAAAAGACATTTATTCTATGTACCTTTTATAACAAACATTGTTCTTATAAAAAGGCTGTGCAAAATTCGGTAGTAATGTTAAACTTTTACCTGCGGAATTGTAGTAGTCTAGTAGTGGCCCGGGGAGTCTCGGATAATGACGTCCTTGACTGTCAGTGTACCCCTGCACCACTCTGAAAGTAAAGAAAATATAAAATCAGCATTATTTGGATAATGTTCATTTCGAGTACACGTATAATTTGTTACTACAGTGTATGATGACAAGAGAATGTTGTGAGAAGTAAACCGCAACGAATAAACTTTGATATGTTTGAGTCATCAATAAGCCAACGTATCACATGAAACGAATCATATTTTATTCCTCCAATTGCGCCATCAAATCAGTACGAAGCTAGTTCTTTCCGCACATTCAATTCCCTGCGATCTCCACACGTTCGCGTTTTAGCTCGCAGACCAAACAAAGTCCTCGACGAAAGTCTGCAACAGCCGCAGGCTCTCAACGTCCGTCTCCCGAAGAGCGACACCGCCCTCGTGACAGACGTTTCGATCAACAGTTCCGCGGAGGGCGAAGCGCCTCGCGGGCTGGGACGAGGGAGGGGACGCGAGTGAGGACAAGGGTGCGGACGCAAGCGGGGTGCGGGCGGTGTCGGGTGAGGCGTGGGCGGAGACGGGCGTGGCGTGGGCGGGGACGCGCGGGGACGGCGGGCGCGGGGCGGGGCGCGGGCGGGGCGCGGGCGAGGCGCGAGCGGGCGCGAAACGGGTCAGGCGGGGCGTGGGCAGGGCAGGTACGAGGACGGGCGGAGCGCGGGGCGGGGACAGGCGGGGCGTAGGTGGAGCGCGGGCGGGGACAGGCGGGGCGTAGGCGGAGCCGCGGGGGGACAGGCGGGGCGTGGGCGGGACGCGGGTGTCGACGAGAGCGAGGGCGCTGGAGAGGCGGGGGCGCGGCGGGTCGGGTGGGGCGTGGGCGGGGCGCGGACGGACGCGGGTGAGGAAGAGAGTCGGGCGCGGGCGGGGCACGGGTGTGGCGAGGGCGGGGCGCGGGCAGGGTGCAGCGGCGCGGGCGGACGCGGGCGGGGCGCGGGCGGGGACGCGGGCGATCTGGGTTAGCGGAATAAACGCTCTCAGATTGCGAGGCCGCAGCTGGCGCCGCGCGGCGCGAAACTGGCTGCCGGGGCGGGCGCCAGCTCCAGGGCGATGAGATGCGCTCGCCTCGGGCTGTTCCGCGCGCTGCCGCTGCTGACAAACTGGCGCAGCCTCTCGAAATGCAACTGGCTGTGCTAGAGGGACGTCTGAGGCGAAGTGAGATTCTTGGGCGGATTCCAATATTCCGACGGATGAGAAATGGGGCTGATTGCGTTCAAATTTGCTGTGCAATTTATTGTTAATGTTTGAACTCTAATTTTGTCGGTTATTTATCGATTTTTAAACTCGTTACGTTTCTGAACGTTTTCTTATGCTAGCGTACAGCTCTACAAATACTTATTTAATGATTGTAGCAAGAATGGTAAAGGCAGTGACAGTGTGGTAATAATACTCATGGGCTAATATCGTATTAATTCCAAAATTAGGCGATTTGCCGTTTATTTTGAAACGTTTAAAATCTGATTTCATCCATTGTTTATCATGATTAAGAGTGTCTTTTGTAAATTATCATGCTTATACGAATCATTTAGTATACACTGTTTTATGGGGACCTACAGTTCTGTTAAATGTCCCATCCTCGTTTGAACAATTGCAAGTCAAAGAACAGCTGAGGTGCACCAATTGATTGCACCGCCTCCGACCAGGAGGGCCTAGAGTTCGAGTCCCGAGGGTAATAGGACTTTTGGCGCTAGGTCGAGTCCAGTCGCTGGCTGGAGGGAATTCCATCGGCGGCTGTCGGTGCCGGTGATCGTTGCTTCTCCGCTCAACACCAGGGAATGCCCGTGCAGTACCCTAACGGGCACGAACCTCGCGCGATCTCTGCTTTCCCCCTTGTCACTATCCTCTCCTTTCACTTAACATGCTTTCACTAACATCGATTATACTACCAACATACGGGAGACCAGTCGGCACCTTACACCTTTGTCCCGGTAGGGGCGGTGCTCTGAGGGTGAGATACCGGAATGGAAAAAACCCTCAAGACGACTTGTAAGTCGCACCGGGACCTCAAATTCGCGGTGGAAGAGCACAGTCACCTCCCGTGATAAAAACGTGCACTGCGCTTACGGGCTATGACCAAAGCACTTGACGCCCCAGGAAAACGAACAATCAAAATTTCAACAAGTCAATCACATTTTTTACGCTAATGGTATTTTAAAATGTTGAATTCAAATTTTAAGCGAATTTTCGACATACACGATATCGGATTAAAAAATAAACATTGCTTTCAGTCATCACGCTCAAAGCACATCGACAGAATGAAAACGATTGATGAAAATTGAATATTATTCTCCTCGAAATTCCGTGTATTCTGCGGTGTGCTCGTGAAGTAATTCACATATAAACCGTGCGCGTTAATTTCCCTCTCTCTCCGCCCTTTAAAATAAAAGCGAACAGTATGCATTCATTTCTACAGTTAAAAATACAGTTGAAATAGGGTTTCATTAGGAATACTGATGAAAAAACCGCGCTGCCGGGTCGGCGTGGGTGACGCGAGTATTTACGTAATGAAACATGGCATGTCGGAGGGCGCGTTCGCCCCGGGCAGAAGGCTGTCCAGCGTGGCGTCACTTGTTCGTCGCCCGCCGCCGCCCGCCGCCGCCGCGCCGCCGCCCGCCGCCCGCCGCCCGCCGCCCGCCGCCCGCCGCCCGCCGCCCGCCCGCGCCGCCGCCGCCGCCGCCCCTGCCCGCCCGCTGCTCGGCAGCCCTCGTTTAAAATGCGCCGGCCGCCGCGCCCTCCTGATTAATCTGCTCGAATCTCTGTGAGCAAAGAAGACGGAGTGAAGAACGATATTTCAAAATAGCTTGCATAAAGACTAAATCTGTAGAGAACATTCAATTTTTTAAAAAAAAAGTAGCGTTTGATGGGCTTTCTTACATCTCTATAGGAGTTCATATTTTCGGCAGTCAGGGAGATGAATAATTTGATTATACATTAAGTGATATTGGATTCGTTGTTTCTTTTTTAGTGCGTCCAAAAATACTCCGTGTTTACGTTACACAATTATCAATTAAATTGGATGTTAAGGGAACTAATACGATGTAATGCGATTTATTTTGCCGTTCTATGTAATCTGCCTGAGATGATGTAAAGACGAGAAAGGAATAAATACGTTTTAAAAATATTTCACATTAGAAATAGAAGCAGATAATATTGTCGATGGACAAAAGTATAAATAATTTGATAATTCATTATGAGAAATTGTATATAACTTTTTTAATGCGTAGAATCATTCCGCATATCAACATTCCACATCATAGCAATTCATTAAGACATTAAACTGCTGTTTTGCACTTTTGTTCACCGTTCGGGAAAAAATATCCCATTCAGAATGATTGGAAGAGATCACAGCAAAAAGGAAAGACGTTAGATTAGGGACATTTATTTCACCCACTGTAGATCGAGGGGTAAGCTCAGCGCTCACTTTCGAATTTCGCTGCCCATTACACAATGTTCACGTACATCAGTTGTCGGTGGTTCTTTCTCGCTGCTACTTTCTAAAGTTCTGATTGTAAAACGATCTCAGTTACATACAGGATTTAAACGCACAGTGTGAAATAAAGTGTCATGTGTGTTGATATTTTCTGATGAATGAGTACTTAAGAAAAAAAGTATAAAATAATAATAAAAAGGTTTGTAATAAATGTAACATATACGTAGACAATAACATTATTGTTCAACGCAAATTATAAAATAAAGAAATAAAAGATATATTTATTTAATTTTTTAACAAGCATTTTAGTAATTTCATTTTCATAGTAAACTAGGGAAATTTTGAATCGATTCGACCTACCGTGGGTTAATGTTATGGGCCGGTTTGGCGTTATCTCAGTCGCTGAATGAAATTGATGTTCAGGCGATGATCAAGACGAAAATATATAAATGATCATAGAACAGTGAAGAAATGAGAGGTATGAGGACCACCGGAACAACCATGAGAAAACCTACCACGAATCCGCTTTGTCGCAACAAATTCCACTTGGACAACCGGAATTTGAATCTCGAATCCGTAGGAGGAACGCTGTCTGCTTGGCTGCGGGTCACCCCTGAATAAATATCGGGCATAGATAATTGCTTTGTTGATAACGTGGAATTTTATGGGTTCCCATACACGGCCAGATAATTGTTAATAATTTTGACAATTGCGCAGTTAAATAGTTTGGATATTGGATTCGCAGCTTTTTACACGCGCAGAATCATTTTACGCTTTTGTATTTCACTGTCATTTCCATCGAACATGAAAACAACTTAATTGTTTTGCAGTTTTGTCCACTGTTCCAAAGGTAGCTTTGTCGCCGGTTCACTTAAATCTTTCATTTAAATTCGGAGAGTCTGTAATAGCTTAGAAAAAAGGAAGCTCTTTTCAAATAAGACGCCTGTAGAGCAAAGAGAGAGAGAAAATTCTATTAGTGCAAAATGTAGGTTTTGATGTCTTCATTACGATTGGATAATACTTTATTTATAGTTCCAATGAATAATCACAAAGAGTTATCAAAAATATTTAGTTTTGAAGCTCATGCCGTTTAAAAAGTGTGTTTTGAGAGTAAGTGAGAATAACATCGGCAAGGTCCGAAATCTGCAAGGTTCTGCAGACGATAGAAATGACATGAAAAAATGTGTTAAAAGTTACAAAACGGGTAGAGGATAGCTTACAAGTTCTTTGTGGATTAGTGTAAGTATATGAATAAAATGACATACACTAATTATTGATAATACATTTCCAACATTCCGACCAGGAATATACGGAATAGAAAGAGGTTTCTCATGAAATAGTGAGGGATGCGGTATTTTAATTTTACTTGATTTCACTGTAACGGGTGTTTTTAAATTTAGAAGCTTTATGAAAATTTAAACTGATATCTTGCTCACGTATTTACTCATATAGTCATATCATACCTGTGTTCTGAAATATATGGGAGCTAAGTTCATCTCGTGCGTACGCAGGAAAAGTAGTAATTAGGAAAGTTATACAGTGCGGCGGGGGAAATTTATGGTCTTAATATCGACCTAGAGTTTCTCACT